TTGCGGCTGCGCCTGCTCCACCTGCCCACGCAGCCCCTCCGTGCCAAGGCTCCCATCACCTGGGTAGAGGACACAGGACAGCACTGAGCTCTCCATGGCTGCAACCAGTGCTAGATGCAGCTCTTCCCTCCCCTGCCCCCTGTGTATATCTTTGTGGTTGAATGCCGTTGTAGGCCTTTCTTGCTCAACTTCCCTTCCTGGCACACAAGCAATCTGGGCGTGGGTTGCAGCCCTGGGCGCCTCTTCTGTGCCACTCGCTGCTGAACTATTGACCTTGACTCTCTCCCTAATGAATGTCTGTGCCCAGGATCTACTCGCTGCAGCTTATTCTCCCATCATCCCCTTGGGTGGTGCTCCATGTGCTGACTGTGCATTCAAGTGCCCTATTTGTTGGGGTAAGTACAAGTTTATGGTTCTTTCCTGGCCCAAATTAATCTTTTACTAGTCTTTTTCAGCTTGCTTTCCCCTCCTCCCCCACACCCCTCAGTAAGATGCACACGTGCTTCAGGGAGTCAAACAGTATTGGGTTTTAACAGGTGTCTTTCCTTTGATTTGCCTAGATTCACATATCATTCCTGCATCTCCCAATCCAGTTAATACAGCCCCCAAGCTGGAAAATTTCACTGTGTTGTCTCAGTTCCTCAAACTTGATCCAAAGACCATGGTGGGACTTTTTCTTGCCTTGGAAAGTGCAGCAAGAGGCATCAAAGTTCAGTTTGCCAACTGCTGTCCCACCACCTGATATATGGCATCCTTTTATACTGATTATTCAACAGACTGGACTGGGTACCAAGGGAATGGAGTCATTTAAGATCGGATCATCTGAAATACTGTTAAATCCAATATTTATTCACCTTATGCAGCTCTTTTAGCATAACCCATAAATTTTGGAATGAGATTCCCCATCACTGAAGATGTCCCTGGAGGTACAGACTTCTTTACTTGAACTTCAAGGTAGTTTCTTCAGTCCACTGTTTCACAGAGGATTATAGAAATTTGTTATTCCTCCTGTTTAAAAGAAATGATAGAAAGTTGGTTAGTTTAAAATAAACCAGTTTGCTGTCTAGCTGCCTTATCTCTTCACCCAAGGCCTTATCCTGGGGAAAGCTGAACTCTCATAACATTTTCCTTTAATGAGGGAAACTGTGTCCTAAAAATTTATTCTGGAATTGACTAAAGTAATGTTAATGAAAATCACAATCTTTTTTTTTTTTTTTTAAAGAAAAGCATATTGGAGGATTACTTGATACCATGTCAAAAAAAGTTATTAACTAGTATGTCCGTAACTGGCATGGATTAACTGTGCAGTGCATTATGTTGATGTAATAATACATGAAGTGTTCTAGTCTGACCCAGCTGGGAAATGCCCATGGCTTCTGTTCATAAAGAGTAAGAATCCGGTAAAAATTCAGAAAATACAGATCTGCACCCGAAGTTTGGTCAATACTTGAGGATTTACTAGAAAACTGAAGTCTTTGGGCCATAAGTGAAACTCATATTGGTTTTCCAGATTACAGTAGAAGTGCTGTAGATTGGAGATCAATCTTTCTGTTCTTTAAAATTTAGAATTTTAATAACATTTTTACATGGTGGCGAGTTTAAATTCTGATGAATGGTAAGAGCATATTAATAAGTTTTCCAAATACATTTAATTTAATAATATATGCATTTGCAATAGTGACCCCATAGCTAAAGTTACAATTCATTCTCCATTGCCACTCCAATATGACCCACTTTCTACTTTCATCAAAAATACTAATTTCTGCCTAAAACATTTCACATGTTCTCTTGCTAGACAAAATGATTTAAGTGTTAAGCTAACTCAGGAATTTTGCAGCTATGAGGTCAAAAACATTTTTTAAAATGAAACTTTCTAAGATGCTCTCTTAAAGTTTTTTTACTCAAACACAGCTTTGTCTAGAAGCCCCAAATGTGGAATTGAAACCTGCAAGCCCCAACTGACATTCCTCACTTCAGTGAGATAACTTGTATGGATACAGATATGAATGACTATTTGTAAGGACTTGAGAACTGAGTTTCTATTCTGCAAAGTCCTTGCTGAGGACTTTTGCATTTGGGTCCTTTTAGAAGGATGGTATATGAACAGTGGGTTTATTTCTTGTGAATATCTGAACCACAAAGAAACACAATGCGTTTGCTCCTGCTGATCCCTAGGTCCCTGGAAATAGAGCAATGGGTCTTTTGTTCTCCTCCCTGCTTAGCCAGACATTATGTACACTCCTTCACTCCCCTGAGTATTACCAGGGGACCCACTGCACTCTTTGTAACTTGGACTGTGCCAGTCCTAGATTGCAATGACTCTCTTCCATGCATGGCAAATCTTAGGAGTAGCAACAGCAACTGGAGGAGCCAGTGGAAGAGGCACTGGATTGCTGCAGCTTCTTAGGTTTCCAATATTCTGAAGAGGTGGCATAGAGGTATACATGTAAAATACAGCGACATGTTCAAGACACATAGGGCATCTAATATAATGAATATATTTTTCAGTCTTCATATTCCGAAATTCACAAAGTAGCTATTTTCCACTTAAAATATCACAGTGGAGCCAGGAGGATATATATAGCTTCTGTTTGAGGGTTTCCTGAAAATCCTGATTGTCAGCTTCATTCTAGAGTAAGCTTTGTAACTGACATTTTAAAAATGCCAAAGACCACAGATTGTTCTGTCAAAATTTTCTAAAAGGCTAAGCCCTTGGATTTTGCCAGGAAAGTTTTGGCAAGCTTTTATCATATAGCATACAGATCAAGTGTCTAAAATGATGACAGACTTTGTGTTTGATATATACTGTAAATTCTGCCTTTTCATGGGGTCCCTGAGTGCCATTATACCAGCCCTTGTTATACCATCCTTTTTAATGTGCCATGTGCATTAGGGCTTGGGTAAGCACTTGAGTTGTTAAGACTCTGTGAGCGTATCCAGACTAGCACAGATGCGCTACTTTCTAGCACGGGGGAGTTTTTGACCCCAGGAGATCCCATGCCAATGCCAAAAAAAAGTGGGGTGGCACATGTGGCAGCAGTGCGCACTGCCCAAAACTGGAGCCTGGCTGGCCAGAGTCAAACTCCAGCTGCCAGCCAGGCTTTGTGCCATGGCTGCAGCCTCAAGAGGCACCCAGGCTCCAGGTAAAACTGCTGGGGCCAGCACAGTTGCTGACCACAGCCTCCCCTACCCCACCTGGGGTCACCTGCCACATGCCAGAGCATGCATGGCATGGGCATTCCCCGGGAACAAGGTGTGCCACTGCTACTTGTCCCTGGGGAAACAAATGTCCATGCTTATCTGGACGTGCCCCATGAGTCTTAATACCTTGAGGATGAATTATGTCTATAGTTTTCAATGGTAGATACTTCCAAGGACCCCAGACACCCTGCCTTTGTGACCAGCTCTTCCTACCTTCTCTTCATGGCCTACATTCATTCTCAGCAAAAGGAAATCAATCAAGTTTTAATTTCAACAGATTCATCACCTCGGGATAGAGTCACACTCAGGGAGCTGACACAAGGGACATTTTGTCATGCAATCAGGCCCCTGAAGCACACTTACAGAAGGGCACAGCTGCAGAGCACCTGAAAAGGGCCCAGTCCCATGACAATCTGAACCCTCATTACATGAGCATTCAGATGAAGGCACCCCAAAGCAAAGCACCTTCATTAACTTGTGTCAGTGTACACTGGGAGCAGGGCTGAGCTGATGCAGCCCGGCCCTGCTCCTGGTTCTGTCTTCATAATGGGAGAGGTAGAAGGGAGTGGAGGGAGTTCCACCTGGGGGGTGCCCAGACTCTCCTGGAGTGTGGGCAGGGTGGACTGGAGCCCCAGGCCCGTCCCCACCTCTAACACAGGCTAGGCAACCCCTAGACTGAGCTCCTTCTGCTTCTTTCCCCTCCTATTCTGAAGACAGTGCTAGAGCAGGGAGGGGATAGGGGTGGGGCTAGGGGAGGGTGGCTGCAGACTCACAGCTGCTCCAGACTGCTTTAATTCCCCAACCCCCGGGAACCAACAGTAAGCATAAGTTGGATCCAGGGGATCGATTCCTGCAAAGCGCCATGAGTTACAGCAGAGAGCTATACTCCCTGCAGTCTGCGCTTTCAAGGGATCTGCTACTAGGTGTTTATGTTGAAGAAATAAAGGAAAAATTAAAAGGAAGAATTAAAAGAATATAATCAACATTACATTCATGATCATATAAATGACAGCAATGAGAAAACAGAAGTTAAAATTATCTACCTATGGAAAAAAAATTAAAAAAATACAAGAAAAAGCTTGAAATATTGTGTTCAAGTGGCTAAAAATTCCTACATTTACTCGGAGCATGAAAACAGCATGAAAAAGATGATTGCTCCTGCAGGTTATTGTTCCTGCTTAGGAACAATAACCCAAAACTTTTCACATATTTACTCATGTTTTTAGCTTGCAAGTTGATCTCAGTACTGAAACCATATTTAGAAAAAGGATGCACCTCAGGTTGTCCTAATAAACAGTATGAAGTTAAAATCTTGAGCTGCTAAATTGATATAGGATTTCCCAGCTTCTCCATACACAAACAGAATAAGAAGACTCTATCCAATTGCCATTAGTACTTTGAAATGTGTACTGACTCTAAGGAGGACTTTAGTGAAAACAGTATACATTTTATGTTGCAAAGGGCGCAGCAGAAATACATTAAACTTTCAATATCTACCAAAGTTGAATTTGGTAGATCACAAACTGGTGCCTCTAGTGTGGTCATCTCAGTGGAAATATGGCTTGGTCTACTTAAAAACCAAGTGTTGACATCATATAAAAATAATTACGAGAAACAATTTAGGGAAGCTATGGAAACTTTCCAATATCAAGAGAACATGATGGATCTCAAGTATGAAGGTCATAGGTTAAACATGAAACAGGAAGAAACTGAGAAATAATTGATGGAATATAATACTGAGTTCCTTCCTTCACTTCTAGCATTTAGAATCAAACATCCATATTATGTCAAATATATATTAGTGAAAGAGGATGTATTAGTGTTGCAACAAAATGGTCAAGAATTACAGAATTAATAGCAGAGAAAATTCATAACTCTCATTTTTTAAAACACTTATACTCCTGTCCTGACAGGCTGGCTTCAATCAAGTATGATTTTAACAAATGGGAAGCATGTATCATTAGCATTTCTTGCCAACAACAATAGGCCTGGATCATTAGTAGACTGCAGACTCCGATATAGAAGCTATATTAAATGGACTCAACCCAATTTTTATTATCACGGGTTTGGTCTGGGGTGATGTAATGAGAGCATTTTAATGGACACAGGATCTGCCAACAAACATGAGCTATATCTCCAGACTTGGCAGTAACACGCTTTCAATGTCCTGGACATGTGCCCCTGTATTAGCAAGCTGAGAAACACAGCTTGAGTAAAAAAACACAGACAATAAGCAGTGTTTTTTGTTTTTTTTCCTGACAGAGAAAGCTGACCATAGTGACAAGCTAGAGGTAATATTTCCTTGGTTTGAAGTCACCCAGCAACCCTTTCTTAACATCCAGTTAGATACATGTTTCCAATTATTTTTTTACTCTAGTTCCTCTCTCTCACATGTGCGTGTGTGTGTGTGTAGTGTGCTAAACTTTGACCCTGTACCAAAGAGAAATGTGTACAAGTATTAATCATGGAACCAGTTCTGGCTCTCTAGGTCACAAACAATGGGTGAAAGCAAACAATCTACTTTCACCCATGCCGAATAAATTAGTGCAACCTTTAATCTACATAAGCCAGTCTAATTTACATGAAATAGTGATGGTCCTTAAAGAACCATAAACCAGCTGTATACTGAGGGCATACATAAGCTATTTACTCCATTCTTTATTGCTAATGCCAGTGTGAGGAGCAGAAAGAGGTTGATATATCTGGCTGTGCCAGCTTAAGCCCCTGCACAGAATTTCCCTGGAATATGGGAGCTATTTGGCAGTTAGATACCGGCTATTTGGAGATCACAGATCATCCCAACTGGT